TTATTTGCCTCAAACAAATGTTATGAACAATCTTGCAAATTATGGTGTCACAATAAACATTCCCAGAAAAAAACAGGTGACTTTGGCTCAAAAGAGACAGCGTCATTTTTGTTAATTGAATCACAGTGAGTTATAATTACAAAGGGAGTGTTCATGATCAGGTTTCAGTTATATAATGTTCCAACACCGATCCTTTCACCAGTGTACATTTCCAACCATCAAGGTCCCTAGTTTCCCTCCCACCTACCTCTGTAGCAGACACTTTTCCTCCCTCTCCCTCTCCCTCTTCCTCTCCTTCTGTCTCCCTGTCTCCTGTGACTCTGTCTCCCTCTCCCTCTCTTTCATTTTCCTTTTAGACATTAAGGTTGGCAATACAGATACTGAAAAGTTATCATGTATGCCATTTCTTAATGGTCAAGGAAAATGCACATCAGAAAAAACGTAAACTCCTAAACATACATGTACCTAATTAGGAACCAAAAAAAATGCAAAGAACTGCTAAAAGACTTGAAGAAAAACATCAATAGAAACACTATAGTAGTTGGAGACTTCAACACCACTATGTATCCTCTTGACAAAGCAGTGAGACTAAAGCTCAGTAAGGAAATAATTGCTCTAAAGAAAGAAATAGATGAAAGACATTTAATGTATATGCATATATATACATATATATACACACACACACATATATATATATATGGCCTTTCATCCCCAAAAGTCAAATACACATTCTTCTCCAATGCACATGGGACAGAGATTCTCTAAGACAGACTACATGCTGGGACATAAATTATAACTCGACAAAGTCAAGAGGATAAAAGTCATATTAACTATCTTTTCAGTAAATGATTCACTCACTGGTGGGAATGCAGGGAGAAAGGGACTCTCATTCATTGTTGGTGAGAATGCTGACTGGTCCAGCCTTTTGGTAAAACAATATGAACACTCCTCAAAAAAACTAGAAATTGAGCTCCCATTTGACCCAGCAATACAACTTCTGGGAATACAACCTGAGGGCCCAAAAACACCCACCAGAAACACCATCAGCACTCTGATGTTCATTGTAGCAGTATTCGCCATAGCCATAGCCAGAATCTGGAAATAACCTGAGTTCCTGAGAACAGATGACTGTACGAAGAAACTATGGTACATCTACACAATGGAATGTCATGCAGAGGTTAGGGAAAATGAAGTCATAAAATATGCTTATAAATGGATGGACATGGAAAGTATCATGCTTAGTGAAATGAGTCACAAGGAGAGGGACATATATATATAATGACTGTATTCATTTTTAGTATGTAGAAATATATAGTAGAAGGCTAATATCTAAGGCCAGGGAAAACAATGGCTAGGAGGACTGGTCAATGGTTGGAATCTAGTACAAGTATGTGTAGGGTGGAGGGTAGGTAAGATAGAGAATATGACAATAAAAGTTGGAAATGATCACTTTGGACAAGAACTGAGTATTAAAAGTAGGTAAAGGGATATACATGGCAACCTCTAAGTATCTGTATTGCAAACCACAATGATGAAAAGGAGAGACAGAAAGAGAGAGAGAGGGAAGTGCTTGCCAAAGAGGGATACTGGGAGTGAGTGATGGGAGGGAAATTGGGGACATTGGTATTAGGAAATGCACACTGGTGTTGGAACACTGGAGGACTGAAACCTAATCATGAACAGCTTTTTAAGCATTTGTCTCACAGTGATTCATTAAAAATAAAATAAAGATGTAGTAATAAAAAAAAGAAAAAGAAAATGATGCACTGAAAAAAGAACACAATGAAATATAAACACATCCCCTTCTCATCATCAAAATGGCAATACTCACAAAAGCACTATACAGACTCAATGCTGATCCTATAAAGATACCCATAACATTTAAAAAAAATAGATCAAACACTCCTGAATTTCATATGGAACAATAAATCAACCCCACGGACAAAACAATCCTTGGGAAAAAAATATGGGAAGCATCACTTTCCCCAACTTCAAACCATACTATAAAGTGGTGGTAATTAAAACAGCATGTTACTAGAATAAAGACAGACCCTCAGATCAATGGAATAGAGTAGAATATCCTAAGATAGACTCTCAGGTATATGATCAGTTGATCTTCGATAAAGAAATAAAAAATATGAAGTGGAGCAAGGAAAGCCTGTTCAACAAGTAGTACTGAGAAAACCAGCTACAAGCAAAGAATGAAATCAGACCTCTAAACACCATGCTCAAAAATCAAATCAAAGTAGATCAAAGACCTTGATATCAGATCTGAATTCCACAGAGAAAAAAACACAGGCAGAGCTCTACATGATATTGAAGCAAATGCATCTTCAAGGATGAAACACCACTAAGCAAGTGGAAGTAAAAATAAACAAATTGAACTACATTAAATTAAGAAGCTTCTGCACCTCAAAGAAAATAATTACTAGGATATAAAGACAGCAATGTAATATGAGAAATTATTTCCTCTCCATTCATCTGCTAAGAGGTTAATATCAAAGGTATATAAGGCACTGGTAGGACCTTAAGAAAATTTAAATTTTAAGATTAAATTTAAATTAAATTAAATTAAAATAAATTGCATTGTCAGTACTGTCCTCCCATTGTTCGATATGCTCAAATGGGCACCAGTAATGTCTCCATTGTGAGACTTCTTGTTACTGTTTTTGGCATATCGAATACGTCACGGGTAGTTTGCCAGGTTTTGCCATGCGGGCAGAATACTCTTGGTAGCTTGCCAGGCTCTCTGAGAGGGGCAGAAGAATCAAACCCAGGTCGGCCGCGTGCAAGGCAAATGCCCCACCCATTATGCTATTGCTCTGGCCCTAAATTTAAATTAAATTTTAAACCAAATTTAAAATTTAAGAAAAGAAATCCAACCCCATCGAAAATGGGAAGAAGAGATGAACAGAAACTTCCTCAAAGAATAACAAAAGACACATGAAAAAAAAATGTTCTGTATCAGTAATCATTAGGAGATGCAAATCAAAACAACAATCACCTCACACCATAGAATATGGCGCACATCAAAAAGAACAAGAACATCCAGTGCTGGTGTGGATGTGGGGAGAAATGGATTCTCACTGACTACTGGTGGGAATATTGATTGTTCCAGCCTTTCTGGAAAACAGTATGACCATTCCTAAAAAAAAAAAAAAAAATCCAAGAATTGAAGTTCATTTAACCTAGCAATGCCGCTTCCTGGAATATACCCCAAGGGCCCAGAACTAAATGGAGAAAAGACACTGGCATGCCTATGTTCCTTGGAGCACTATCCACAGTAGCCAAAATCTGGAACAACTCAAGTATACAAAAAAGATTACTAGATATAAAACCTATGGTACAGACACACAGTGGAATATTACTTGACCGAAACAAACCAAAAAAAAGGATAATTAAATTTGCTACTACAAGGATTTGAAGAGTATCGTGCTGAGTGAAGTTCATCAGAGGGAGAGAGAGAGAGAAACAGAATGATCTCTCCATATGCAAAATAACAACGGTGGAATAAATAATACCCAAAGACAATGGAAACAAAAAACATGAGAAGTATTATTCAATAGGAAACATGCCACTAGGAGGGGGTTTCAGGATAGAACAGGGAGGGAACAACAACTATGGCAGAGGGAAGCATTCACCAGTGAGGAGGTGGTGTTAAAATGTGGTAAACTATTATATATAAAACGTTATTAGCAACAGCATTGTAAATCATATTGCAAAAACATATTTTAAAAAAAGTCTCTCATAGAAGCGGACTGGTGGATGGAAAGCAAATTGCAGGGGGGTGGTGGTTAGCATTGGTAGAGGAAAACAGAGAGTGGTGAAGGGATTGATGTTAAACTATTATATGGCTGAAACCCAATCATGAATAACTTCTTAATTTTGGTGACTAAAAAAATGAGTCACATTCACACTACTGCCCTGAAGCACAAGTATAGTTTCAAGGAAGTCAGGGAAACCACCCAGTTTGCTGAAAAGTTGAAGAGTGCAATCAAGAGTACAGGCTTGTGGGCGGAGCATTAGTACAGCAGGTAGGCCTTGCACCTGGCCAACCCAGGTCTGATCCCTGGCACTCAAAAAGGGTCCCCCTAGCCTGCCAGCAGTAAGTCCTGAGTGCAGGGCAGGCTCCCTCATTTCTAGGATACTACTTTCAGTCTAGCAGTATCCAAGGAAGGAAGACTCAAGGGCAATCCTAATCTATACCACAGATTTCCACCTATACTCTGTCACAAATGCTACCTTCCTCTATACTCTGACCCATCCCAGACTCTTTCCAACCTCTCCATACCTATGAAAATCTAACTATGACCCCAAGTTTCTTAGTGGAAAAATCCCCCAAACCCTTTCTAATGAATTTAGTAAGTTCCCAAGAGCTAAAGAAAAAAGGATCAGAAAGATGCTGTTTCTCTGGAGTAAACTGAATTGAGCATCAGACAGATGCTGTTTCTCTAATGTAAACTGAACTGAGCACTACTTACTTTTTTGGAGAAAGACAGTGTGCAGCTGTACCGCAGCAGGATGAGCTTAAATCTTTTAACAAGCCAGGCACTAAGAAAGATTTTCCTGTTCTCCTCTAACCAGGACTACTCCAGCGATGTGATGCTAATAGAAAGACCAGCCATGCCCAACATATTATCTTTTACCTCCAACTTGAACAAGGAATAGGCAGTGAGACAGTAAAGATTAAGGACTTTTCTAGTTGTCAAAGAATTCTACATGCAACTCACTGGACAGCAAGGAACAGCATGCTTGCCAAGGACAGATGAACATTCCTACCTCTGGCCATTTTAGCAATATAAGAGTAGGCAAGCCCTGCCTGGTAGTTGGCAGGGCTGAGAAAAAAGGGTAATATAGAATTCAGGGTCACTCAGTGGTGAATCAGGATTAGCTGCAGGATTTCCTACTGCAAAGGCTGACTAACTGGAATATGGAAAATTTTCAGGAAGATTTCTACTCTGCATTATAGAGTAGGCAGGACCTGACACCTAGTTACGCACCTGTTCTCCCATGCAATGCCCTTGAGTTCTGCCAGGATGCATTCTACAGGTGGGGAGAGGTTATTCCATGCCTTAATGGCCTGAGATAAATGCCTACATTTCTCCAGCACCTGCCAGTAAAAGAGTCCCATAAGAAAGATGGTTAAGTCAGGAAACCCTCCCTCATCCCATAGGACCACTAACACCTCCCTTCAGGAAACAGGGTACGACATTCACAGCTCCCCTATTGGCCTGCAACTAAAAATATCCTAACTCCAAATGACAAAGTTTGTCCTCTTCCTCCTCCCTCCCCACCCCCTGAATTCCCAGTGGCTCCCAATCATAAAATACCCCAATACTGAAATATTTAGTGGGAACATTTTGCTGGAGTTGGGCAGAGATCCACAGCCATAGGGGTGAAGGGAAGTAATAGGTTATGAAAAAATATAAAAAGAATCAGGAGACCCAGTGTCTAAATATTGATTCTATCAATAACTGCATAAGTGATCTTGGGTCAGACTCTTCACTCACCCATGGCTTCAATTTTCTTCCTCTGTGAAAAGGAAGGTTGAGCTGAATGGTTTCTATGTCACCATTCTTTTTACTAAAATAACACACCTCAAAGTGTGTTATTTTACACACTTCCCCTAGGTCACCTGTGACCTAGGGAAGTTCTTTGGTGCCTCCTGTTGGTCATCCGCAGTATTGCAGGGATATGCCACCACCTATGCCCAGTTGTTCCCAATCACCCAGTGGAGAAAATTATCCACAAAACTCTATCAGCTCCCTTACATTAATATTATCAGGTAACTCAACTCTACTCCTCTTGTTACCTTCCTAGATTATCCCCTTCTCTTTCCAAGATCCCTCAAGCTTTTACCACTTTTCTAGTTCCTTTTTAGGACCTCTTTGATACCTGGCAAACTGGCTGGGACAGTTGAGAACACTCAAGTCAAGGGTAGTTTCTTACCTTAAATTGTTCCTCTTCGTATGTTACCAACAGTTCCCGGGCTCTTTCTGCAAACAGAGTAGGGAAACAGGGAATCCAGAGCAATTTCCTGTTCTTTATGGGATTCTGAACCCCTCTCACCTTATTTCTTGAGTTGTAAATTGGGAACTAGAATTCTTTCCTCTCTTACTTCACAGAACTCAAGGAAAATGGTTTAACAACAATTTTCTTAAGCTAAGACTCACCACAACCCCAGATGAAATGCTGAGCCACGGAAATAACCAATGTAGAACACTAAGCCTGAGTCTTCCAGGCTCATGGGACCCTCTGCCCCCCAAGGACACCTACCATAGAGCTCTTTATGTCTCAGAGCCTTTTCCCACTGAGAATCAACCTCTTTGTTGCCTTCACTGCCTCCATCAGCCTTGACATCTGGCTGTGGACCTTCCTCCTCATCCTTAGGCTTTGATTTCTGTTCTGTCATGTGATCAACAGTATCCTTATCCTCCTCTTGGTCCTCTTCATCTGTTTCTTCCCTATTATCCAACTCCCAGGTATCTCTTAGACTGGTTTCCAGTTGGCGGCACCAAAAGGTCTTATGGAGCCAATTCAGCACAAAGTAGCAACCTAGAAAAGTGGAGAAAAGACAAAGGAGTGGTCATTTAAAACTAGTTTTTCACAGGTCTCTAATGAAAAGCTTGGCTCCAGGAAAGCACAAACCTCAAACATTCAAACAAAGAACCCTGCTCATGCTCTGGGTTATGCTATGCTAATTACTTTCTCCTACTCACTAGCACCTTTTCCTCAACAAAAAAGGAAAAAACTAATACTGGACTCGGAGATGGTATGGGATGCCAAAAATGCACAGGGCTAGCGACTGAAAGAACAGGAACTCCACTAGCTAGTTAGAAGGTCTTGGCAACTAGCTACTAGAGTTCTTAATTTCTTCAACATGATAAGGCTAGGTAGAATCAGGGTTTCTCTAAGTAGGATAAGTTATCCAAAGAACTCTTGTGTTCATGGCAAATTATATCTCTCAATTCATCCCCTACTTCCCTCTTCAGACAAAAAATTAAAGATGTCAAAAACTCAGTAATCAAGATATGATCAGAACAGTATCCTGCCAAGCCATATGAAATCTCAAGAAAAGAGGAAAAATCAGTAATATTAATCTATCATTTAAGTTTGGATATTTTGTTAATTATAAGGTTTACTGTATTGAAATGGGCTGGAGCGATAGTACAGCAAGTAGGGCATCTGCCTTGCATGCGGCCGACCCAGGTTCGATTCCTCTGTCCCTCTTGGAGAGCCCAGCAAGCTACCCAGAATATCCTGCCTGCACGGCAAAGGCTGGCAAGCCACCCATGACATATTCAATATGCCAAAAACAGTAACAAGTCTCACAATTGAGACATTACTGCCCACTCAATAAAATCGATGAACAATGGGAGGACAGTACTACAGTGCTACTGTATTAAAATGTCATATATATTGATGACTAACATTGTAATATACTTTGTGATCAAGCCAAGTGCCTCATTTGCCTCATCCTATTCCAGACCCCATTCCCAGATGAAGAAGAATCTTCTTCCTCTCCCTCTACCCAGAATGCCATCGAACCCAGATCTTTGGTGTCAGCTATAACAGTTCCTTGGGAACTCACCTCTACGGCAGTCATTTAAATGGGGCATTTTCTTGTGGGTCAATTCATGACGAAGTTCAACAATCCAATCTGGAATATTCACCTGATCGCAGGGGAGGGTGTGAGTGAATTAATTAGAAAACATTAACACCGGAAGGTACCAGAGATGACTTAATGTCTTTCCCCTCATTTAATAGAACAAAGGAGTTCCTAAGACGAGGTTCTGATCTTGGTGGCAGAAAAAAAAAATTAGAAACTGGGTTTCCTAATATTACTGCTCTATGGATATGATTTTAAAAATCAGGAAAGACACTAACTTATACCAGCCACACTCCTCCAATAGAGATTTTTATAAATGAGCAGTAACAATTGCCTTCTCCAGCCTCCCTCTGCTCAATCTGTACCAGTTCCTCTCCTGGGTACACTTAAACTCTCTTTTCTCCCTCCTACTATTCCCCCCAAGTCTTTTCCTGAACGTCTGTCTTGGTGGCTGAGAATCTGCCTGTCCTTTTAAGTATGTGAGTACGCACTTCACATATTCACACATGTAAGAAATAATCTGGCATTTTCATGTGGCTTGGTTAAGCCTGTCTCCTCCTTCAGACTGTCAGCTTCCTGGTGGTAAGTGCTGTGACTACTACCACCTCTTTTCTGTCCCTACCCAAAAGGAACATTCAGGTGTCCAAGCTTCACTTGATCACTTCCAGCAAGCTGGACAAGGACAAGGCCACTGAGACTGCACCCAGAAGCAAGAAAAATTGAGGTTTCGGTTCTTGCTGGGCTTGGCCAGTAGTGATGAGATGAACAAGACTCATGTCCCCACATCACCCCATTTCCCATTTATCCTGGGGAAATACAACTGAGCAAGACTACTTCATATATGTACCTCTTGAGCCAGGAACTTGAGGGGAAGTTTGGCAACCTTTGTCTTCCTCTCCGAAATAAGATTCACAAACCTGGGGTTGGGAGAGAAATAAGTGGCACAGCCCAAGTAATCATCTTACCGAAACTTATAGGGCTCTAAAACACATTGTTGAGTTACTAACATCTTTCATTTTCACAACTATTCTATTCTATGGTTGGTATTAGCCAGAACAGGGATAATTCCATGAAATCTCCCATGTACTATGCCATTCAGATGAGTAGGACATTAATTACACTGGCCCTTTAGAATTCCGTTTAGAATAAACAATCATGCCGTAATACAGCATATTATACTAGGCCATAATAGACTATAAATGCTAGATCAGAAGACTATATCAAGTAATATGGAGAGCACGGCTAAATGATGGAGAATATAAGAGCTAGGAAAGACCTCTCAAAGCAACATGGGGAACAATGAGATAAGCAAAAACTTTTTAACAGATGAGTCAATTCAGTGGCAGCCCTTTTCCCAATTTTCAAGCAGCAACTAGAATCACTGTGAGTGACTTTGTAGGTCAGGAACTTCTAGCCCATGTCTCCACTTCCACAACTCAGCATCCTTTCAGAGATCATGAAGAAAAGGACTGTAGGGTAATGCTAGGTACAGACAGGCAGGGTTAGAAAATTAATTGCCAAAGCTACAAGAGACCAGAGATCACTTAGTTTAAATCACCTCCACCCAACATCCCAAAAAAGAGAGGGAAAAAAATTTTTTAAAGGAAGCCCTTAGGGGGGAAAAAGCAAAGAGGGTATGTTGACAGGTACCAAAAGCTGGCAAGTCTAATAATCAGATACAGAGCCCCACAAAAGGACACACAGAACTTTTCCTGTGAAACCAAGCTTTGCTTATCATGTGCTACCCCCACCTCCACCCCCAATACTACCCTCCCACCACTACCCATGTGGGTCTTACCTGACCAACGCCATGCCATACAGCAGTCTAAGTTCATCAGTGCCCAAGCCACCAGTTACATCCATGAGCTTACAGCGTACCAGGTCAGCAGTAGAAGCCACTGCCAGGGGAAGTTCGTTTCCTAACCTAAAGGGTCACAGTCCAGCACCATCATAAAGGTCCCTTTCACTGTTCCACCCTCCACCTCAGAACCTGGATTGCTGTAGGTTACTCCCATTATACACTGGCTCAAGAATGCACGAATAGACACAAATCAAGAAGGTGCAAAGAGCATAATGTCCCTTGGATCCAACAAATGCAGTGCATGAAAGGCTGGCAAGGGTATATACAGTACACATCTAGTTACACAATCAACCAACAAGTGTGGGCACATCCCTTTCTTTACCCTGAATCCCTCAAATTATTCAGCTAGATGAAACCTTTATCCTCTTGTATGTGTTGCCAATCAATCTTACTAAGTGGGCATAAACATCCTGTTGATGATAAACACCTCATTTTTGCAGTAAAGTTTTCTCCACGTTCCCTAATTTTAATCACATATTCATCCTGGGAGCTAACATATTCCTAAAGGCCTGGCTCAATTGCAGTGGTCCCTCTGGAACCCTCCCCGAGCTGAATTGAAGACATGGATAAGAGCTCACAGATTGGACAAAAAAAAACTAAGGCACAACCCTTTTCTCTCTTCAAACGGGATTAGTTCTAGTTAGACTGTGATTTTTTTCCCCAGGCACTTGGGAGGGGGACAATGCCCAAAGTACTCCTAGAGTTATCATTAGTCAATTTAAGGAACGTCTGGAGAATAGGACCTTAGAGGAATTCTACAAAGAAAGAGGTGAGGCGCCATCAGCACACACGCAAAATGGCTGAGCGTTTAGTCTTACCTGCTCCTCCACACCGTGATACGGTTGAGCGCGTACCGCTGCAATTTATGGTCGTCGCAAAATAGATAAACGGTCACCTGATCCCACTCTGCCCTATTTAGCCAGGCAACCACAATACTCTGGGCCCACAGAGGCGGCGACCCGTTCTCTTTGAGGCACTTTCCGCACCACGCACTCCACACGAGATCCATCCCCCAGGGAACCAGACCTGGCCCGGCCCCAGATTACCACGAGATACTGGGCTCCACGCCAGGCCTTGTGCCTTGGTACACCGAACAATTTCTGTTTAACGTGCTATCCACTTCAAAAGAGGAGAGCCAGTAGCCAATCGGAGAGTGTGACCCCTACGCAATCCCGCCCTCCGGTGTTAACGTAGCAAATAGGAACTCGAGAACTAGAAGCCTCTCCAACCCGGAAGTGTTCTTTAGTTAAGCAGCCGTACGCGGTACAAAGGTTCAGCTTCAAGGTTCCACGTTTCTTGGTTGCTAAGAGCTGCCGATTTCCACAAGACGAGATGCATCAGAACTGTTTGAGAAATTTGGGGTTTTACCCCTTGGCGAATTTCAGAGATTCGCTATGGTCGTCACACGTACTAAAAAGTAGCTTATGATTTGCGCTAGGAAAACGCTATCGATGTTGAAGCAAAACAGAATGTATAGATAGTACTTAAACACCTGCACTTGGGTTGAAATGTTTGCGGTTTTTTCACCCACAGCTGTACAGTGAAGAACTTAGACCAGGTTTTCTCCATTTCTCTTCCTCGTAGCTGAAAATGTAGGATTTTTACTCTGCCAGAATTCCATTGCCAGTTTGTTTTAACATCCACAAAGGGGTGTGTGTGTGTGTGTGTGTGTGTGTGTGTGTGTGTGTGTGTGTGTGTGTAAAATTCCTTGGGATTCTGGAACCGAGGGTAAAGAAATATTAAGGGGGCCGAGGCGGGTAGAGCGTTTGCCATGCACGGGGCTGATTAGGATTCCGTCTACAGGACCCCAGATGGTCCACATACTCGGGCCAGGAATGAAACCTGAGTACAGAGCCAGGAGTGATCCCCAAGCACTGCCCGCTGTGGCGCCCCCTACAAAATACTATGAAGCTCTTTTGATTTTACTGGCTCACTAAAATGTGTTCAGGTATCTATCCCAAAGACATCTCACATGTTATTTTCTAATCAATGACTTCGATCTCTCCACCCCCCGGGAGAGCCCGGCAAGCTAGGGAGAGTATCTCGCCTGCTCGGCAAAGCCCGACAAGCTACCCCTGATGTATTCAGTATGCCAAAAACAGTAATAGGAAGTCTCACAATTTGATGTGAGATGTTACTGGTGCCTGCTCGTGAAAATCAATGAACAATGGGAGGACACTGCTACTACTTTAGAAAGAACTGTTCTTATGAATCTTAATAGTATTGCCACAGTAGCTATTTTACAACTTGAGAGCAAAAATGTTCAGTCCACTTTCCTTTTTTGTTGCTTTCTCCAGCCAGCTTCTATAATACAATCAAACTTCCCAGTTTCTTGAATGGCAGTTGCTGTGTACCTAGAAGTCATGCCAACCAGTAGGTCATGTGTCTACCAAAAAAAACGGCTCTCTTTTCACCTTTGGTATCGTGACTGTGTTTAGGCTGCCCATTTAAATAAATCATTTCTTCACATTGGATAAAAGAATTTCAGCTATTTCAGAGTTTACAGCTCCACCCTGAGGATTAATGATGCAGCTGAACCCTGTAGTTTCTTCCAAAATTAAGCACAGATTTCAATTTTGACAGTTTTGACAGTACAGATTGCCTTCAATAGAGGAGAATTTAAATTTAAAGTAGGTTAGGAAAAAATAAAACGTTTATCTTTTGGTAGGCTCCTGGTAATTCTACATCCTATCTGATCAAAGAATGCACTTTTAGTTTGGGTATCTAAGAAAGAATTTACCCTATGTGTGAGCAAAATGCAATCCTGGATATAATAGTTAAACAACCACAATGTTGCGGGCAGGTAGATAGGAGTCTGGTCATGAGTTTTAAGGAACATTATAAAACTGAGAAGAAATTATCTAGCCCTGAAGTAGTCCAAAGCAATTTTTGAGATGCAAATCTCTTTAAGATGCAAATACTGAATTCTTTGAAGATAGATGAAATGAGCCACCACCCAGATGCAGAAATTGAGGCCCAAAGAAGGAGGAGCTTTTAGGTTTTATTGATGATAAGGGAACGTAGTACGGCTATGTATCCAAAACACAGACTCAAACACACTGTTAACATGAGCTCTAAACTGCTTCCACTGGAACTTTGTAGTGTGGCTATTAAATTGACAGGCAGGGATGGAGGGAATTGGGGGTGAGGAGGGAATATGGGAACTCTAGTGGAGGGAAGTTAACACTTGTGGTGGGATTGGTGTTAAAATATTATGAGCCTGAAATTCAACTATTAGTAACTTTATAAATTATAGTTATTTTCTGTATCAAGGATTGTTTTATGTATGCATCTAAGGGGTTGGTATCAAGGATATACAAAGCGCTGGTTGAACTCCACAAGAAGAAAACATCCAACCCCATCAAAAAATAGGGTGATGAAATGAACAGAAAATTTCTCAAGAAATCTGAATGGCTAAAAGACAAATGAGAAAATGCTCGATATCACTAATCATCAGAGAGATGCAGATTAAAACAACAATGAGATATCATTTCACACCACAGAGACTGTCTCACATCCAAAAGAACAAAAGCAACTGGTGTTGGCACAGATGTAAGGAGAAAGGGACCCTCCTTCACTGCTGGTAGGAATTCCGACTGGTTCAGCCCTTTTGGAAAACAGTATGGACAATTTTCAAAAAATTAGAACTTGAGCTCCCATTTGACCCAGCAATACTACTCCTGGAACATATCCTGGAAATGACATCTGCATTTGTATGTTCATTGCTCCACTATTTACAATAGCCAAAATTTGGAAAAAAAACCCCGAGTGCCTGAGAACAGATGACTGGTTAAAGAAACACAATGGAATATTATGCAGCTGTTAGAAAAGACGAAGTCATGAAATTTACATACAAGTGGTTCTACATGAAAAGTATCATGCTAAGTGAAATGAGCCATAAAGAGAGGGACAGACATAGAAAGACTGCAATCATCTAGGGAATATAAAGTAACAGCATGGGAGATGAACACCCAAGAATAGTTGAGATAAGTACCAGGAGGTCTGTTCCACGGCTTGGAAGCCGGCAGCAGATGCTTGGGGAAAAGGCAGCTCAGATAGAGAAGGGAACACCAAGTAAAGGGTGTTTGGAGGATTCGCTCGGGATGCGAGATGTAGACAGATATAGATAAACAGTACAGTGGTCAGGGCATTTGCCTTGCTCATGGCAGATCCAGGTACAATCCCCAGCACCCTATATGGTCCAAGCACCGCCAGGAGTGATTGAGCCCTGAGAACTGTCCAGGTATGGTCCATACCCCCCAAAAAGACAGAACCAGCCTGGGGTGAGAACCCATCTCCATCACTGACCTTAACAAGGGCCATAGAGGGCTGATTGGGGTGAAAAATAGAATCCATTAAAAGAAACCCACTGGATTCTAAAGGAATACAAATAGCACACCCAGCAGAGAGATGTAACAGGACCCAGAATTGCTACAATCTATTATCTCATTTAGATAGCCCACTTTCCACCACCATCACCACCACCATTCTCCTGTTGTTCATCGATTTGCTCAAGCAGGCCCAGTAACGTCTCCATTTTGAGACTTATTGTTACTGTGTTTGGCATATCGAATAAGTCATGAGTAGTTTGCTAGGCTTTGCCGTGCGGACGAGATACTCTCGGTAGCTTGCTGGGCTCTCCGAGAGGGGCGGAGGAGTCAAACCCGGCTCAGCTAGGCTGGCTGCGTGCAAAGCAAGCGCCCTACCACTGTCCTAACGCTCATTAAAATTATATCGAAGTATGGGCTGGAGCGATAGCACAGCGGTAGGGCGTTTGCCTTACAAGCAGCCAACATGGCCGACTTGAGTTCAATTCCTCCGCTCTCGGAGAGCCCTGCAAGCTACCGAGAGTATCTCATCCTCATGGCACAGCCTGGCAAGCTACCCGTGACGTATTCGATATGCCAAACACAGTAACAAGTCTCATGATGGAGATGTTACTGGGCCCGCTCGAGCAAATCAATGAACAATGTATCGTGTATCAAAGTAACATACACATGATTCCCTAAGTACCATCAGGAACTAATCCTGAGTACAGAGTCAAGAAGAGTCCTTCCGCCTCGCTCAGGATGCTAGATGCATGCTGAAAGTAGACTATAGACGGAACACGATGGCCACTTAATACCTCTATTGCAAACCACAACACCCTAAAGGAAAGAGAGAACAAATGGGAATGCCCTGTCACAAATGCGGGGTGGGGGTGGGGGTGATGGGGTAGGCGGGTGGAACGGCTACTGGGATCATTGGTGGTGGAGAATGGGCACTGGCAGAGGGATGAGTACTCCATCATTGTATAACTGAAACCCAAGCATGAAAGTTTGTAAGTCTACAACTGTACCTCATGGTGTTTCACTAATTAAAAAAAAAGAAAAAAAAATCCTTGCTCCAGTCTAAATCCATGATTCCCCAAAGCTCTAGAGCAGGGAACCATTTCCTCCACTGTGCCAACAAAGGGGAATTCAGGCACAGCTTGGCAGCTTTTCATGTAGTTGGTGAGACTCTAGAGTTCATGGTGCATAGAGGTAATCTTAGCTGACTTTGTGAGGTGGGTCAAGCAGAGAGATAAAAACACTTTTTCTGAGGCTACTTCCCTCCTCCATTTAATGTAACTTATCTGAAATAATAATATATGATAGAAGACTTCATGCTCCAGGGCATAGTTGTTGAAAGAGTCTATTTAATAGAAAACACTGCATTATAAATTGTGTCAGGGTTTTCAACCTTTCTATACTCGAGGTAAAACTTTTTATCTATTTGAAATCACTTTTGGGGAAAATTTACTCTGATCTCCCCAAAAGTCTTTCTTTTTAATGCAAAGATCACTTATTTAACTCTTCAAATAAAGTTCAGTCAGAAGAATTCTCTGATATGCAGGAAGCATATATGAATACTTCGGGGATTTAAAAACTAATACATTTAGTCTCTGGCAGCCACCAGAACTGCTTTTTGGTGGTTTTTTTTGTATTTTGGGTTACACATGACTGTACTCATTAGCTCTTTACTCAGGGATCACTTGTGGGATCTTTGAAGACCATATGGGATACCATGGATCAAACCTGGGCTGGTAGATGCAAGACAAGCACCCTACCCCC